CACGCAATCTCGTGTTTGGTGTAACATACATGTTCGGCTAAAGCTGATTTTCCCTTGTCTAAAGTTGAAACAGCCTTTTGATGTTCTTTTAGCCGTGTACCAAACTGGCGTTTAGACTGACCCAAATACTCTTTGTCGCAGTCACCGCATGGTATAGAATATATAGCATGAAGTCTTCTGATTTTTTTCAACAGGATCTTTTGGCTTTGCGAAAATATGGCCTAAAGTCAAATAGGGTTTTAAGGCAACCTTAATATTACAATTACTTAAGATTCTCTTGATTGGTTCTGTGACACCTTGAATGTATGGAACTATTGCAAAACCCTTAACAGAGGTATCACCCTCAGAGTTAGTTTGGTTCCTACAAACAGGTGGCCTCAGGCAATCATTAAGAAAATGCTTTGGGTAATTGTTTTCCCCTAAAATCCAATATTATCAGCAAGACTACATATGAAAAGTTATACAGCAGTGATGGACTATCTCCGCGTTTCTATGGCTTACCGAAAATCCATAAACCGGAAATTCCATTGAGACCTATTGTGTCCTTTGTGAATTCTCCTACATGTGGAGTTTCAAGTTTTTTGGCGAAAATTTTGTCCCCTGTGGTGGGAAATACCGAAAACACTGTCAAAAATTCCTGTCATTTTGCAGAATTTGTAAGAGGTAAAACTCTTAAAGCAGATCAAGTGTTGGTATCATTTGATGTCGTTTCCTTGTTTACAAATATCCCAGTTGATTTTGCCATCAAGGTTGCGGCAAAAAGACTAAGACAGGATGCCACTTTGTTACAAAGAACATCCTTGCCTGTAGAAGATATTATTGATCTTCTGTCTTTTTGTCTCAACGCCACATACTTTGTGTTTGAGGGCTGTTATTATCAACAGGTTTTTGGAACAGCGATGGGGTCTCCAGTTTCGGCAGTAATTGCTAATTTAGTAATGGAAGATGTCGAACAAAGAGCTTTAGCCTCTGTTCCGGTATCCCTATCGTTTTGGAAACGTTTCGTCAATGATGACATCTCTGTGGTTTCTACAAATGAGATCGATATTCTGCTGCAACATTTAAATTCTATTGAGCCGTCCATCCAATTCACGGTAGAACGTGAGATAAATGGACATTTAGCTTTTTTAGATTTGAATGTACACAGAACTGTCGAAGGTAAGTTAGAAACTGATGTTTATCGCAAACCCACACACACAGACAAATACTTGTCATACGACTCTCATCCCCCAGTAAGCCATAAAAGATCCGTAGCAAAAACTTTGCTTCAAAGAGCTGAATCGTTGCCGTCAAACAGTGATTCTCAAGCTAATGAACGTGAATATGTCCTAAATGTTTTAGGGGAAAACAATTACCCAAAGCGTTTTCTTAATGATTGCCTGAGGCCACCTGTTTGTAGGAACCAAACTAACTCTGAGGGTGATACCTCTGTTAAGGGTTTTGCAATAGTTCCATACATTCAAGGTGTCACAGAACCAATCAAGAGAATCTTAAGTAATTGTAATATTAAGGTTGCCTTAAAACCCTATTTGACTTTAGGCCATATTTTCGCAAAGCCAAAAGATCCTGTTGAAAAAAATCAGAAGACTCATGCTATATATTCTATACCATGCGGTGACTGCGACAAAGAGTATTTGGGTCAGTCTAAACGCCAGTTTGGTACACGGCTAAAAGAACATCAAAAGGCTGTTTCAACTTTAGACAAGGGAAAATCAGCTTTAGCCGAACATGTATGTTACACCAAACACGAGATTGCGTGGGAAAACTCTAAAGTAATAACCACAAACAATCGCTATGGTCAAAGACTTTGCCTAGAAGCGTAGCATATAAATATGAGTCATCATGCTTTGAATAGGGATGACGGCGCCTATTTGCCAGAGGAATATATGCATCTTCTTGGCAGGTGACGTCATCCCTTGGGTATTTAAGAAGCCATGATCGCAGTTTTAGATCACCCCTGATGAAGACACTAGACTGGAGTGTCGAAACGTTGGGTCTTGATTACAATTCGACTGGGCTTTGTAATCATTTATTTAAACCAGAGTAGCGAGCGAAACATGGATGATTTATTTTGCCAATATTTTTCCCTTGTCTGTTTATAAGGACAACCATACTGGCTCCGTTGCACACATACATGTATGTATAAATATTTATGTTTATATTCTTTCACTTTTGACTTTATACGTTCGCTAATACAAACGGCAATCCACAATCAGTAAGGTTGCTTTTTGCTTTGTGCGTTGCGAGAATAATCTACATGTTTCTAATAAATAATCTACATGTTTGGCCTGCTTATTTTAAATATTTTACACAAGGCTGCCAAACAGTCAGAAGAGAGCTATTTTGGTAGTATGACAAACCCGGAAGTTTAAAAACGTCACAAAATATAAAACCGGTTTTGCAAGCTCTCAAACAGCAACTTCAGCATGGAAGAGAGATATGTATCGCGCGCCACCAGAGGTTCTCTTCGCCTCGCGTAAAATAAATACGAGCGGGAATAAGGCGAAAGATACAGAACCTCTGGCAACCAGGGTACGTATAAATATAAAACCCCTAAAAAATTATCTGACCACTAGTGACTAATCCTGCCATCACATCTGCATGCATAAGTGATCCTCCTATAAAGTAAACTATTATCTGTTATTGACTAGTGTGATAATTAATTATTAATTTACTTTTGTATCTGTTTTCACAGATAACCATTTGATCTTCCTCTTCCTTTGATCTCTTCTAAATGAATAAAGATATACATATCGTGTAAATTATGCCGATGAAATTATGCTATCCAAGACAAGCACGTTGCAACATGGCAGCTTCTTCGAATAACCAAATAGTCGAATTGTTTCATCAACTGTCTAATGCTGGAATATATATTAAGAAAACCTCTACACGTTTCGACCTATGCTCGGCTATGGACCTTCGTCAGGAGAGTTTTCTAATATATTTTAGGCAGTTGATGAAACAATTGGACTATATTTTGAAATTATGCTAGTTACATGACGAAGCTTGTATACATCTGTGCATTGAGACAAAACTACTTGGGTGTATACAACGGCTATATAAATTAGCTTAACTATATGGGCTTTTTCAAATACAAATACAAGATATATATCTTCATCAAGACATATAAAATCTGCTTGATCAAAAACACTCGTGTAGTATTGATTTGGTTAATGCTATATTACTACTAGTTAAAACATGAGCAGCTGATCTTTATCTGATACACAAACTCGAGCCGAATGGCGAAGGCGAGAGTTATCCGATACATCAGATAAAGATCGGATGCGAATATTTTAACGTGCTTAAAAAACGACGCATCTTATCAGTTCATTGACATTGGCGAAGTAATTTTAAAAATAGACATTGTCTGAGGCTAAGCCGAGAAAATCAAAGCTGAAGTTTATGTATAAATCAGGACAAATCTGTATCCGATTTACAAACATTGATTAATTAAACATTCATTTCTTTTGTATTTTCTAGTTCATGAATTATTAATGACTTTTTAAGTATATTTAACAATTATCGCCTAGACCACGGGTGATATCCGTGAATATAAAAACCGAGACGATGACACGTGTTTGTGCTGGGGCATGCATACACGTAGGCTAAGAGTCTGCTGGTATGGTTGCACCTGAGATTATTAATTTTAAAATGCAATAATTGCCTGAAACGTCACGTTTTCGCCGTATTTGTTAGGGTTTTTTTCTCTATTATAATCAAAAATGAATTTATACTAAATACTATATTAATATGTACTAACATAGCCTACTAAATAGGCTACATAATTTATATTTTCAATTAAATCGTACTTCCCTGATTCTAAGCTAACAAAACCCATTTCCCACATACCTTTTTACACAAGCAATACTTGTATCCTGAAGTTGTGGTTTCTTCTAGAATGAGAAACGTATTTTGAATATATACAGGAGGTAAATATTTTTACAATGTAGTGAAAAATACTTTTCTTATGTATGGATAAATATGCATGCAAGGAGCTGTAGTGTTTATGTTATTTCCTGTAATTAGTTTATCTATAAGGCTAGGATAACTATACGTATAAGAGAAACCATTAATGTACCGGCATATCTTAATCTGCATCCTGTGCACATCTATGTCCGTATATACACACTTATAATAAATCAGATAATATATCCGATGTACGTAACAGTTGCGACATCCTGTAAGTTATCTATATAATATAAAATATAAATATCCATGTATCTGCATAGCTTCTGATAGTCAAGTATTTGTACTTATGTGCTTGTAATAAAGGTTAAAATTGACCATAAGACTTTGCGTTATAAGTCTGTTCTGAATATAGTAGAACGTTTGTGAGTGAAAAAACTGAACAGGAACAAACTGTTCTTCTAGTGTAATTGTTAGTTGTTTTTCAATCGGACGCTTTAAACGTTTGGCTGCAGATAGTTAATAGAATGATTCAATTACCTGAGAATTTTATCTTTTTTGACTTTGTGCCCTCGTTTTTCAGAATTCCATCTTCAGTATGACATCTTTTGTTTCCACCTTTAACTGTGCTCAGGACATCGTTGCTGTCAATTTCACTAGATGCAACTGTTAAGAAATGCGAATTTTATCCGATATTAATGATTAATTATTGAAGCATATTTTTCTACGCGTACGTATAAACTTTACAGTCAACAACTGCGTATCAGTCAGTCGATGAAGGTTATCGCTAAAATCATTGTGCTGAATTGCATGCTATAATTGGACTGTAAACGAAACATTTTGGCTTTTAGAAAAGTGTCGTAACTATCAACAAAAACAACAAGCAAAAGATTATAAGCAATCGGGGACCATGCAGTTTCTTGTCCAAACTAGTGGACAAAATCTCTATTACTATCATGCATGAATTTCACACTGTCGAACAATTCCGCATTAACTTAAAGAATTCGATATAACGGAATTATACTGTATACTAACCTTCTAAAAAGATACCACTGTCATCTAATGAGAATGGAGTTTTAATTTTATCGATCGCCATGGATGACAGTGCTCCAGCAGACGTCGATAGCTCTTCACCATTGGGTGTCGATGACTGGATACTATTAGGCGTCGATGGCTGGACACTAGTAGACGTAGATGACTGGACACTTGTAGTAGACGTCGATGGCTGGTCATTAATAGAGGTCGGTGGCTGGACATTAGTAGATGTCAATGGCTGGACACAGGTAGACGTCGATGACTGCACACAATTAGACGTCGATGGCTGGAAACTTGTAGACGTCGATGACTGGACATTAGTAGAAGATGTCGATGACTGGACACTAGTCGATGGCTTGACACTATTAGACTTCGATGGCTGGACACAGGTAGAAATCGATGGCTGGACACAGGTAGACGTCGATGACTGGACACAGGTAGACGTCGTCGATGACTGGACCCAGGTAGACTTCGATGAGGTAGACGTCGATGACTGGACACAGGTAGACGTCGTCGATGGCTGGACACTAGTTGATGTCGATGGCTGGACACAGGTAGACTTCGATGGCTGGACACTAGTTGACGTCGATGGCCGGACACAGGTAGACTTCGATGGCTGGACGCTAGTTGACGTCGATGGCTGGACACACGTAGACTTCGATGGCTGGACACTAGTTGACGTCGATGGCTGGACACATGTAGACTTCGATGGCTGGACACTATTAGACGTCGATGACTGGACACAGGTAGACGTCGATGACTGGACACAGGTAGACTTCGATGAGGTAGACGTCGATGACTGGACACGGGTAGACGTCGTCGATGGCTGGACACTAGTAGACGTCGATGGCTGGACACAGGTAGACTTCGATGGCTGGACACTAGTAGACGTCAATAGCTGGAGACTAGTTGTAGACGTAGATGGCTGGACATTAGTAGACGTCGATGGCTGGACACTAGTAGACGTCGGTGGCTGGACACTAGTAGACGTCGATGGCTGGACACTAGTTGACGTCGATGGCTGGACACATGTAGACTTCGAATGGCTGGACACATTAGACGTCGATGACTGGACACAGGTAGACATCGATGACTGGACACAGGTAGACTTCGATGAGGTAGACGTCGATGACTGGACACAGGTAGACGTCGTCGATGGCTGGACACTAGTAGATGTCGATGGCTGGACACAGGTAGACTTCGATGGCTGGACACTAGTAGACGTCAATGTCTGGAGACTAGTAGTAGACTTGGATGGCTGGACATTAGTAGACGTCGATGGCTGGACACTAGTAGACGTCAATGGCTGGACACCAGTAGACGTCGATGGCTGGACACTTGCAGATTCGTTGCTGTATTGTTCCTTTGATTGTATATCGAATGCTGCAATATGACAATTAAATCCATAAATGTGACAGTGCATGTATGCTATACGTATAGGCGTAGCGAGCATGATTTAAAATTTTGGTGCATGATGTCTTAGTAATCTATGAGAATCCGAAAAAAAGTGACAGCAGTTGTTACAATTTTAAAGATATGGGCAATCCAAAACATATGTCAATCTCTTTGAAGAAACTGAAGGATTTATACTTATTCAAAAACAAAAAATGTTCGTCTTATATGTTTCCCCTTTCTTTATTCAGAACAATACAAAAACTTAAGGAGCCATATGCACTAGAAACTACAAATTTTAAACTGGACGTATAGGGTATTAGACGACTAGTCCAAAAACAGGTATAGTTCCGCATAGTTCATTACGCGTTAATTTGTAGCCGGTTCGTTAGGCTAAAACGAGCATGCATCGGTAATTTATTGTTACTTTTTGCAACATGATATATTTACAAGACAGGAACGCCATTTCCGACGGACGAAAATAATATAACAATACATCAAGAAGAAATATATGTAAGTGATTATTCTCAATCTAACCGTTTGAATAAATTTAAAGTTTATGAATGAAGCGAATAATATATCTTTACATTACCTTCTGAAAATACAGCCCAGCTAGCTGCTCCAAAAGCTGAATGCTTAATAATAACGCATTTCTTTGATATTACTTCCACGTCTGTTCCCATAGTTGTTCGAGTTCTCTTTATTTTCGTACCATTAGGTGTTTTGTTGAAGAACTGTTTCCTCTTTTTGGTAGCACCAATTTCAAGCTCTTCAATCTCCTGCTTCAATGTGTCGATGTTTTCTATTGGGGGTGCGTGTCCGCTCATTGTTATCAAATTCCATAAGCAGTTAAGAGATATAGCTGCACCTCTTACTCTAATATTGGATTTGTCAGTTGAAAAGCTCACGTCAGGATTTATGCAAGTCAACATCTATATAAAATTTTAGAAATTTAATTCAAAATTAGAACATGTATATATAACATTTTAACTTCTTTAATGTACTATTTAAAAAACGACCAGGAGTGTTTTACTAGGTTTAAAGCCAAGAGCGCACAGCGCGAGTGGCTTTAGACCTAATGAAACACGACCTGCGAGTTTTTTAAATGGCTTCGAAAACGTTTGCATAATAAGTCAAATCTGAATATGAAAAATCTTTATATAAAAATCTTTATATAAAAATCTTTATATAAAAATCTTTATATAAAAAGCTTTATATAAAAATCTTTATATAAAAATCTTTATATAGTTTGCCTAACAATGGTCTTTTGTATTATTGCATAATAAAGTTCTTTAGCTGGTATATATAAAGACGTATGCATGTGACTAATTTCTTACTCAAGATTGGATTATTGCTTCATGAATTATTCATGAGTTTTTGAAATATATATAAAAGTTTTGCTTACCAAAAGTCGTCCACTACAGTCTGTTTCATCCGTATAGGAATCATCTTTGCTGGTAAGCAAAACTTTTGTATTTGCTCTATCTATACGATATCGAGCACTCTCTAGTATTTCGTGGACCAAACCACATACATACATACATACATACATTAAAATTATATATAGGTTATTTTATAATTTGTATTAACGCTATCTTTTGTTGACTATACACTGTTGCTATATTCATGTTCTGACTTTCGGGTTTTCTACTATAAACTTTGGAAAAATGTGGGACATACCAGGTGTATAACATTGTTAGGCGTATTAGAGTAATCGTGTTTAATGAAAACTAACCTTTGGTATTGTGAGTTTGTACTCTTTAATGCACTTTATCAAAACATACACGATGATTGGTTCGCCCGACTCGGACGGTGACGAAGAACAAGACGAGAGTTGACCTTGAGACTGGTATTTGTTGGCACCATATGGAAGTATTACATTCAAGAAAAATTTATATCTGCCAGTTGGATAACCTGAAATAGTTATATTGTATATATATATGTATATCTATATACAATTTTCACTTACCTCAAAAGTCTAGCTGCTACAGCCTGTTTCAGCTGAAAAGAATCTGCAGGCATTGACCTGAAGATTTACTACCTGAAGATTCTTTTCAGATGAATCAGACTGTAGCAAAAAGATATCTATTAAGAATAAATATTCTGCATGAGTGTTGTTTTTGTCATGGATTGCATGCGTAGCACTGAAGGCTAAATGTTACCTTCTCAGCAAAACTGATAAGCAATGCATAGTTCTTTAAAGTTCTTCCGTCCAAGTTCGTGACATCTTGCCCTAATGCAGCTCGAATTTCATTTGCACATGGCACGCAGAGATAATGCACATCCTGTGAAACACCAATCATCATGCCTAGTGCACTCGATGCCCGCTTCAATAGTGTTTCGCAGTTGTTTTCTGCCGTCTGCTGTGATTGTAAGCCATTTGGGTTTCATTCACCCTCGACGAATGGAATTAAGACGATGCATCCAAATACCCTTTTGAAAGAGAATGATTGATGGATTTGTCAACAGATTTATATAGCGTACTTGTGCTAGAAAGAAACTTATGCGATTTGCCGATTACACACAAAGGGTAAACATGCATGGTCATGGTAAAAAAACGAATTCACATTTACGTTTACCTTGGATCTCGATTGAGAGCATCAAGAGGCGCCCAATTAACAGTAAACGTCGGACATATCTGTGGTTCCTGCTCAAACACACAAGTACCATCCCTCCCCTTATTAAATATATACATGGCTACTGAGTCCAGTGTTTTGGGTGTTTTAACATCATCCAGTACCGACGGCAAGGTGGATCGGCTGCAGAGACGTGGAACAAACCTCTCTTTTACCGAGATGTAGAAGTGGGGGCTGTTGCCAATTAACGCTAGACCAGCTCTAGCTGACATGGTCTTTCCCAGACGATTGGTCCCGCAAACCACAGGTGTTGGGCAATATTTCAGTTCGTCCATTATCATTTCGTAATGTAGCCCAATTAATGTTGCAGCTAAATGGTGATTAATTAAAAAAAATTAAATATGAAAACTGAACGAATTTCCAGGAGAGTTAATATGCAAATGATCAAATCGACCTGTCAGACCGAATGTCAATAGATTATAGATCACTTTCAAATTTAGTTTCATTGTCGTTGCTTTCCTCACTTGATGAGAAAAGCAAGTCAGTAACAAACGGTGCAACATGCCTGTATATTTAGAATACATTTTAGCAAAATGTATTTGGAAAAATTGAAATTTTCTACTTTACTTAAGCATGCATAAGACCTTCTGACCAAGGATTGCAGTTAGCTTCAGGCGCTTGCAGGTAGCGCCACTACCTAGGATCCCAACATCTGACAGGCATGTGGTGCAATCTCAGACGTTGTTTTATACTCACCACACAATCTTTCAGATTCAGTTAAATGACTGAACAGATTTGAAATTGCTCTCCATTTTGAAAAACAGCTATTAGTGTCCAGTTTTTTTTTATGTATATAGCTTCTTTGGGTACTTATAATGTAGAATAATGAAAAAAAATTCTCGAACTCAAATTTTGGGAACCAGGGAGGGTGTCTTTTCCAACAAAATAAAAATGGCTTGCGCACGAAATTTAAAGGTGATCTGCGGTCCGATCTGCGCATGTGCTTGTATGAGCCCACTTTTTATGATACAAACAGTTTAACTATGTTTTGAATTCTTGAAAAGCCTGATTGTTGTTTCTTGATCATTTATTATATTCTAGAAGCTTGAAAATATAAATAGTTGTCGAATAAAGCTCAATATTTTGGACACAAAAATGTAAACAAAGGCTTTGTTTACATACAGACTGTAGATCACCTTTAAAAGCTTTAATCATATTTTGAGTTGATAGATGGAATATTTGTTGGGTTTTTAATTACTGTACAAAATTTCAGACAATTTGCTTTAGTTTAAGCCTTTAACTATTAATTTGTTTCTACAAAATCAGCCTTTCGCATGCTTAATTCATTAATGCCTTTACCTAATTTGCATATTGCTGACATATGTAAATTAAGCAATTAAAGAGATAATTAAGGTGGCTCCCTACAGTTATTCTTGTTTAAGCAGTAATTCCGTAAAACAGGCTTATTCGTGCGGAACGCGAATTTTTTTCGACTTGGTGGCAATATTGGTCACCTAAGGAATATTTCGAACTAGATTTCGACAATGTCAATGTTCCCATGGCAACATGACGACAGCATAAAGCCTTCCAATTTAACCCATAAATGTGCCGCTATCTCAAAAACGATGTCGTGACCTATCTTTTTTATTTCATATATCAATAAGGAATGATGCTCTGCAACTGTGGTGAAAGTTTAAAAAAATTCTGTAGTGTGTGATTTTTTTAAAAGCGAAAAATTTATTGCAAAATTTCCACACTACAGATTTTTTTTAAAATTTGAAATTTATAAAATTTACCACAAAATAAGTTTGCGTGAATAGTTAAAGGGCTTAGACTAAAGCAAATTGTCTGAAATTTTGTACAGTAATTAAAAACCCTACAAATTTTCCATCTGCTAACTCAAAATATGATTAAAGCTTTTAAATTTTGTGCGCAAGCCATTTTTAGTTTGTTGGAAAAGACACCCGCCCCCTCTGGTTCACAAAATTTGAGTTGGAGAATATTTTTTCATTAAAGGACATTGGCAACCAAAATTTTTATTGCTTATATCTATTAGGTATGCTTACGGAATACTTAATTTTATATTTTGGCCGGTTTGTCGCATTTAGTTGTTGAGAAAATGTAATAAAAAGTTCAACAGTAGTCCGCCATTTTGAAAATAAACACTTGTGCCACAGCATACATTATCTGACGTCATTAGATGGGTAAACACAATTTCATGACTATAAAACAATACCGAGTATTACCACGCGTAGTGCACTTTGAGCCTAAACGAAGGGCAGAAACGTTTTACCAAGTATGTTCCTTATTTGTAACACTATTTCTGATAGTATATCAGTCCTAGTCCGTGTTAAATAAACGCAGTAATTCGAGTGTAAACAAGGCAAACACTAATGCAATATTTTATGATCAATTACCTGTATTGTAAATTGCGCCATTCCTTGCTTTCCCAGTCGCTCGATATGTTTTTATCTGATAGTGTAGGCTTCTCTTGTTTGATTGCGAAAAGTATTGGCCAGTATAACGCTCAAAACGACATATTTTTGGCTAACACGACACGCACACAATAGAATTCTCACTTGTAGTTTTGGTGCTACCCATCTAATGACGTCACAAAATTCGTTGACCTTCGAAGGTCATTTTTTCCAAGATGGCGGCGACACGCAAAGTTTGCATGCATTTTACTCCTAGAGTAAAATGTTCGAGAAGGAAATGATAATATTTTCATAGTTAGGTTGTCAAGTAGGATTGAAATAGCCAATAAAAATTTTCGTTGCCAATGTCCTTTAATTCTATATTATAAGTACCCAAATAAGCTATATACATCAAAGACTGGATACTAATAGCTGTTTTGCGAAATTGAGAGCAAAGTCATATCTGTTCAGTTTTTTTTTATACACCCTGTATAACGAAAAATATACTTTCTTACCGATTGTAAATATGCTGGCCATACCATTATGGTGAAGTGCTGCCATTAGCGCACTGACTACTTCCCACAGTGTAATTGAACTCAAGGGCAAATCCACAGTGCATGGCGCCTCTGAACCTTCAAACAGGCCTTTGATATATACATAAGTCGCACTATCTGCATTTACCAAACGCCCATCCTCTGAAATCTCCACGTTCTCAGAAACCACCCATACATTGCTGCCTGGTTGCCTTCCAATGCACCTGGCTGCCATGAACGTGAAATCATTATTATTTGAACTGAATTGGACCCGACAAATTGTTGTTTGTAGACGTTCCTTTACATGAATGAAAAACAATGGTAAAGAGTAGTTTATAGCCTGTATATACGTCAGCAATGATGACCCGCTATAATTAACGCTATAAGCGTGTACTAACATTTCGGAAAAAATAAAAGACTATTTAAAATTATTTGATAATTAAGTTCATCAGTATTCATTAAGTAATATCACAAAAAGTACCTGAAATAATTTTTCATGAGCCATTTCAAAAAATTTCTGAACTCCACTGGCTCCAAATTTGTTGTGAGGACGCCAGATCCAAATGATCTGTTCAGTTCTTCTAATAATCTGCCAGGTCCCCCATTCATTGCTCTTTGAACGTGGAAAAAACATCGCCTAAAATAATGATATAAGACAGAGATTTGTTAGGCCACTAAACTTCCCGGCTTTTTCGTCTAATTAACTATATGTAAAAGTAAACCCAGGTTATTCCGAATATATTCATTATCAGGTAAATAAAAAAAATTGGCAAATACACAAAGAAAGTTAAAACTGTATATATTTCGATTCAAATCTGAATCATCTTCAGCAGATAAATTTTACAAGATATGACGTTAGCATATTTACAAATTTGATTGACGTACGCATTGGCCCTTTGTTTCATATACAATTCAAAAACTCATTAATAATTCATAAGCATCTTAGCTAATGAAATCAGCCAAAATACAGTGCAGTGTCTTTATATCTGCTAGAGATTTTTATATAAAGATTTTTATTTAGAGATTTTTATATGAAGATCTGTGTGACGTTTTTGAAGTCATTTAAAAAACTCGCATTGCTTGTTTTATCAGGTTTAAAAACCACTCGCGTGTTCCGAGTGGTTTTTAAACCTGATAAAACACTGCTGCTCGTTTTTAAAATAGTATGTAAACACCGACAACTTCTAAACTGTTTTGTTTTGCAAATTTTATCATATTTAAAGTAAAGATAAAATACTTTTGTTGCTTTTACACAGTTTTCTGAGCTAATAGAGTTTAGAAAACAGTTTGACTGTGACTCATTTCAATACATCAAAATCATCCTGCCTCGCATCTCGTCCTGGCGAAGCGAGATCGTATAAACAACCCCTTATTCAGCAAATTGCGCATGGTGCCATCCCTTGGTGGTGAGGCAGCATTTTCCTTGCGATAGTAACTTCTAGTATAATTAATTATGAAAGAATGTTAAACCATAAAGCAACATGATTTTTTCTGTGTTGGTGTAATGTACTCAGGTGAATATGATGCTAATTGTAATGTTACTCTGAGTATATATCCACACCGGGCAAGCTTGCTTGCCCGGTGTGGATATATACTTAGAGTAACATTACAAGCACCATAAAGCAACATGTAAGAATATAAGAATTGTGTGGCGTTGACAGAGGATAACCTAATTCTATCGGACACGTGCACCCAATCAGATCTCAGGAAATTCAGCCAATCGTATAGTTGAAAAACTAACCAATAACAACATTGTAACTATGTCTTCGCAGAGGTCTGCCCCGTAATATTTTGCATAAAAATGACAAAATTTGCTTTAAGAATTAGTGATGGGCGATACCACCAGTATCGATTCGATACCGTATTGATTCGATACCGATTACTTTTTCGTAAAAGTATCGAGGTATCGATTACCCAAACGATTACTACGACGACGATTGTATTTCAGAATTTTCCGCCATTATAAGTTATTTCCCGCCTTTTTCATAATTTATTCTGTCGACGAGGTCCGGAATATTAATCAGGGAAGTGGATAGAATGTCAAATAAAGTAAAGGAAAGTTTGATTAAATTGGTAAATGCAGCAAAATACAAAAAAGTACATAAATTTTATTAGAAATAGCCATGAAAACGATGACACAACTACAGAATTATAATAAATGTCTCATTTTAAAAGTAATCAAAAATTTTTCGATACCGTGCAGTATCGACTACTTCCGATTTGGGCCTGGTATCGGGTGGTATCGATACCAAGTAATCGGTAATCGCCCATCACTATTAAAAATTATTTGGGACTTTTGGGTTGTTCGTGTTTTTCATAATTCATTTGTGAAAACTGTGTAACACGCATATCTTTTGCTGTTTATTAAACACCAAACCGTTTCATGTTATGTAAAAGTTGGAGACATTTAAAAAATAATTTAAAATATGCTGCAAGCTTGTAGCCAACATTATTTTGAATAATTTGAATTTTTTTACCTATCAACATTCTGCACTTAGAACCCTAAAGATAACCGTATCTGATCAATGTAAGTCGAAAATATTGATAAGATTTGGCTTTTTTTTTGCTTTTTAAAACAAATGAAATTTGGCCTAATTTTATAGTAGAGTTTGGCCTTTTTTAAAGGTCATTTGGCTTTGAGCATGCGCGAAAGCCTACCAACCCTGCATAAGCTCAGTTACTATTTGTTCGATTTAGGCCCCGTTTAATCTATACCGGATTGCGATCGGAGTGGGTCAAATTTTGTAGGTACGGAAAGGCTGTGAACATTTTTAATATCAGAGACCCAAATAAACATGCCAATTCTGTCAAACTAATAAGCATTTGCTACTAACCATTGCTCCGTAACGGCAAAAGAAGATGTCGTGACCAGCGAATCCGGTATAGTGTAAACAGGGCCTCAAATAAAATTTTGCACATTCCACGAATGAGGGCCACTAACTAACTATAACTAATTTTATAAATTTTCTGCAAGGGGCCTGTGAACAACGTCAGTCAGCCAATGAGCACGTCAGTAGAATCTAGAATTATGTAAATAACCTGAACATATATTAAATATTAACAAAGGATCGGAATTCCAAGGAAATAAGAGAAGTCAAAGATCCAAATTTTAAATGGTACTTGAACTTTCAAGTGTAAACAACGCAATAAGATCGCCGTGTTTCAATATTTCAGTCAATGAGAATTAACTGTGAATGAAGTAATTATCGTTTGGGACTAAGGATGTAAGTTAAATGAAGAGTAGATAAGGTAAAACAATTATTATATCCTTGGAGTATAAAGAGTGTAAACGGAATGTGTAGCAAAGTTGAAAATTTAATACATGTGTTACAGCGCCCTGAGTATATACAAGGCAATTTTGCAACACATAACGAAGTGCAGGGTCAAGGCAAGATTTAAAGGTGTCTATGCATCCAATGCGCTCAGCTGGCTCAGGTTTAATTGCCGTTGTAAATGAGAGCAAATGCAAATGACAAGGAGTCCAAGCTCCGCCAAAAGGGAACTGATTTTGCTGAAGATAGACTGTTATTTGCCTTAAAATGTAATTTCGTCAGCTTATAGTGGATTCAGAGGTCTTATAGAGGATTGATAGCTAAGCACATAGCACATTAGTAAATTCCTTGATTTTCATGACCAAATTTTATAAATGTACAAGATTTACTTATACATAAGATCTTATTTTTATATTAAAACATGTATACGTATATATGCACCCGTCTTGTTTCAGGCCGGTGAACAGCAAATTTGGCGGCGTGCAGAAGAGAATTTAAAGCAGCCATTCGCCAGAGGCTGTGTAAATTCCCGAGCACACGCAGGTTGCTTCGATAAGCTTCGACACTCATTCACAGGCACAAAATTATTCGCCATAACCATTTTTTCACTAGGACTCAGAACGGAAAAATAGTATTTAAATCGCAAAAGGTGTATTTCTACGTTTTATAAGAAAACGTGACATCTATATTTCATAAAGATTTCCGAGCGAATATAGCTTTCCGTTTTACCTATATGAATCATAATATGAATCACCTGATGATTCATTGATTCCTTAGAGTAGGTGTTTTTGCAATTTTGACGCCAGTTAATTTGTTTAAACTGGAAACTTCAAACAAATTGGCGTTCGTTGTTCAGTTCAAAGCAGGGTTCAGTCATTGTTAGTTCAGGTAGTTGAAAATGATAGAAATGCGCTAATGCATAATGATTTAATGCGTTTATCTCGGTTTGTCATCGACAGTCGCCATTAGGCAGTAACTTCAGAAATGTAAAACGTTGTTAAGTTTTATTAAGTCAAATAGTTTTTTTATTCAAATATAAAAAACCCTCACGCTTCTTGGACATTTTCAAGATGTAGTTATGTCTTATGAAACAGTTTAGTTACATTTATGTAGTTTGTGTGACATATTAAAATTCTGAAATACGCGGGAAATGCAAAATGCCTCGTGGGCCTTCGTGGCAAACACAATACCAATGGCGTATATAGTATGTACCCAATCGTTTCAGCATAAAGAATACCTATAGGCTCTAACAGGTTCTAATGCAAAAGTTGTTCACTATCTATAAGTATAAGAAGTTGGTGGATTAAAATGTTACTTACATGTTCCACTATTTGTGGAGACCTATTTAGAATTGACACCTTCATGGCATTCATTTGCATCAACGTGTGATATAAACAATTTACGTATAAGCAGAATATTGATCTTCAAATTAATTAGTACATTTAGCATTAGGGATTTATTACAATATGAATACCTGGACTGTTCTCTCAATGAACAATATATTTGGCAAAGGAAACCGCTATCGCCACCTGTGTCGATGTGTTTCTCCAACTCTATGGAAAAAGTTCCCTTTTCTATATACTTTATTTGGCCGTTTTTGTCCCTTTGCTCTATTGCAAAAGTGCAATCGGTCGCCATTTAGAGGATTTTGTATATCTTTATATTCAGAGAACAGAATCTAGTATATCGCTTTTGTAGAAGAAATGAAATGAAAATTTGGCACGCAAAGCTACATATAAAGCAAATCTCCCGCTTTTTTGCTAGCTGTTACCATATAAGGTAACAGTATACTTATATGGATTTCAACTCCAACCCAGACCAGCGCTCATGCCAGTGTTTCCACTCCCCCCAAAAATAATTTCCTAAATAACTCGAAATTTCCTTTTTTCACAAACTATTTTCTTCCAAAAATCTCTAAATTTCCTTTCATTTTTCCTCCCGAATTTCATTCAGAATTAGCAAA